CAATTCTAGATAAAGATTGTAGTACGTTATTGAAAACGATACAAAATCGTAAACTACTTGATCCATTTCTTATCGATCAATCAGAAGATTTGACAATACTCATCAGTGTTGAACATCATCGTATACGTGAAGCAAAAAATTCAATTCAAAATCAACAGAAAGATTTGCGACTTTTTGCTGCATCCATATCCCTTGCTCGTCTTTTACAAGCTCAACACCGTTGTCGTACAAACCCTCCGACAAATACTATTCTTATCGATTCTACGGAGAGCAAAGCAGTATATTTTACAATAACAAATATACTTGATTCAGTTTTACGAATCTTTGCTTTAAGCTTTATAATAGATATGAAAGATCCGTTAATATTTGATGAAGAACAAAGAGATCAATTGCAATGTGAAATGACTACTGAATTACAATCTCTGCTACCACATGTCTCATTACTAACAGCAACTATTTTATTTATTCGATGTTACAATATATGTTCTCAACAGATGGCTAATATAATCGTTGAAAAATTTAGAAATGAATCACTTAACAAACAAAGTCAAATTGAAGAAGCAGTATTCATTGCATTGAGACAACTCAAAAATTCAAATCTTTCACATTGTTTATCAGAGTTTGCTAAACGAAAAGATAATTTATCTGATCTACTTCAATTAAATTCAACAATATTCTTTCACTATTTTAATAAAACAATATCATTCGATTCATCGAATAATATTCTTCTATCTTTGATGTATCTATTTGAATTGACTTTTGATGCTGAAATTCTTAGGATGTATGTAAAAGATAATCATAGAAATGATATTTTACCTTTGAAAGAACTAAAACAATTATGGAATGAATCGTCAAAAGAGAAGAAAATTATGACATATAAACTTGCAATATGGATTACGAATAATTTACAAATGTTAAATAAACAAGATCTTCATCAGATTATACAAGATATATCTCAATGTTCGATGATAGAAAGAAAAGCTCTTGTAGTAATTGAGAAACGGCTCGACTATCGAATGGATAAAGTTCTGAAAGTTTTTGCATACTATGCTGCATTACAATTGTTTATTGAAGGTTCAAATATTCCAGATTTGATCGATATCATAAATGAGATATTTTATAATAATGATAAATTCAATTGGAAATCAATTATTGAAAATTTGATTAGTTCTCGACTTGTTAATTCAAATATTGTTCGTCAAATTTTAATCGCATTACATAAAAATATTCATCGTTATTCGAACTTTTCTATTTCGATTTCTTGTAAAGAAATGTTTGAATTATTTCTCAATTTAGAACTGAAAAGAGTTATTTCAAATGTACATGAATCATCTAAAGTTTCATTTAATTCATTTTTATCAATGATTAGTTATTGTTCAGCAGATTTGAAACTTTATCTTGTAAAAAATTTTCGCTTATATTTAAATTTTCAGTCTAAATTCGAAAATGCTATTAAAGATGAATATTTTGCTGTTATTATCAAATGGATGAATAAAAATTTAAATTGTTGTAATACCGATGATTTTTTAATAGAATTATACAAATACATTATTACACTTCCAGATGTTAAAAAATTTCCTGTAGTTTGTAAGGTAATTATTAATATTCTCAATAGAGAATACAGAAATTATTTTACAAGAGATAAGAGTACGCTTTTGCAAGATGATATAATCATTGAATTGGAGAAAATGATTTATTCTTCGTATACATGTTCAGAAGATATTTTAGCTATTTGTTTACTAGCTTATGGTAATTGTTTAATTAAGTTACATGAACTTGAAATGAGTCGAAATGTGTCAGATGAGATGAAAAATATTCTTACTATTATTTCTGAAAGATCATCATCATCATCATCATCATCAGAAGTGACTTCTATCAGAGCTAATTGCTGTTTATTATTCATCAAATCTTCAAATATAACTTGTCTGGCATTATTGAAGTGGTTTAGAAACAAATCATATATAACATCTGAAAAGCGATATAAGATATTATTGCAGCAAATGTTATATTGCATGAAGAATTCATCACGTACCGTATTTGTAGATGAAATAATTGATGACTTAAAAACACATTCTACTAAGCTTATCGATTTATTTGTCATGGATCTATACAATTATTTGTGTAACATAGATAAATTTGACTATCTTTCTGATTCTACACCTAGTTATATCGGTATAGCAGGAGATATCAGTAGTAGTAATTGGAATGAATTTCGAAATGCTATTCAAAGAAGTTTATTTGGTGAAGAAAAGTACAAAAGAGAATTATATCAATGTTGCAAAAAGAATCCATCTAGCGGCGAAGCATTAATAGATCATTATGCAAAGTTTGGTGTGCTTACAACTGAATTAGTTGAAATGTGCGAAGGGTATACAGATAATGCTTTTTTTGGCATTGAACGAGGTCCAAATTTGAGCAATCTTAAAGTGTTTGATCGAAATGTGATTGACAAATTGTTTCAAGTTTTAGATTTGAAAATATATGATAGAAAATTCAAAAGTTCTTTATGGATATTGAAAAATCTTGCCAAGAATCATATTATATCTTTGTTAGAAGCACACCAAAGGATTCCACTTATAAATAATATCTTAGATTACAATGATAATCAGCTTTGGAAGAGTGAAGAATATATTTTTGAATTGTTATTGAATACTAGTTGTTTTAATGAAGGAGTTTTATATGATTTTAATAAAAGATTTTTTACTAAGAGTGATATTGATGAAGAATTCGAAAAAATAATTAATTTTCTTGACAAGAAGTTAATTCTCTTTGTCAAAAGAAATAACTTCTGAGCAGTTATCAAATAGTTCGAACTAAGAAGATCATTTTATGTTTCTATCAGATTCTTGTACCATCATATGTTTGTTTTTTTTCTATAGTACATGCTATTATATAATTAAGACCATTGTTAACTTCAACATTTTATCTCTATCGAATATTTTTTTTCATTATTGTCAAACTCTTTTTGTTTTATTGTTGTAGTATTTTCATTTTGAATCTTCTTTATTTTATCCATGTATTCTTTAACCACACCCCACACCCAATTATGAACGAAACGATTATTCGAAAAAGAGACACAGATTACTTGGCAAGATCCTACAGAAAATGTGCTTGCTCATGACATGTTTGATAATGTGTAATTTAAATAGATTTGATTATAATCAATTTACACTTGGATAAATCATACTAATGATCTATCATAACAATTAATATATTTGACTGAGTTTCTAATAGTAAAACAAGGATAGATAGGGTTTTTTTTCTTGTATTGTATTTCGAGATTCTTATTCAGCGGTAATACATCTGTTCAATTATTTACAATACGAGTTTTCACTTGCGTCACAGGAGCAACAGCTCGAACAGGCTGTCGGCACCAAAGCAATTTTTTCATCTTGATTCGAAGTTCAGGCAATGAACCGATACACAAGAAAGGAAAAAGAAGAATTCCGAATGCAGGGAAAGATGTGGCAACAACTAACATATTGGTGACAGCTGGAGTCATTATACCGCATAAACTGAGCCACGTACCAAATGTGTACGGAAAATTGCAAAAAAGAAAAAGAGCCGATATGAATAACATTTGAATAGTCATTTTGCGATGTTTTCGCCATTGGATTGGTTGACGTAGCCGATTTTTTTGTAGTATAACACGCACAATAAGAGTAACATTGAAAACAACAATAATTAAGGTGGGTATACTGTTATTGACTATTGATTCATACCATAAAGTGATTGGATTGTTAAAAAAGCAATAGTTGTAACATGGAGCGACTGTGTAATCGGTAACAATTTGACAAGGAGGAAAGAAAAAGACAAAAATATATAAGATGATACAATAGAGAACAATTATAGAAGAAGGAAGATAATGAATTAAAATAGTCTCTTTTTAGTTGCTATTCTCATCTATCATGAAAGATGAGAATATGCCGTTCGATGGATGCCCAAGCGACGAGTTGCAATTGTATAAGATAAAAAGTTCCATCAGTATATGCCCAGAAAATACAAAACATAGGTGATTGGAACATAGCAATTTTGACATAATAAGAATAAAGATACGATGGAATATCAATCAATTCCAGAATTAGATCGCAAAAAAGAACAATCATAATGGCATGATTATTGAGTGCATTTCGTAGATTTTTATCGAATAGAAACCAATAGAAAAGCAACAAACAGCAAATAAATGACGGAATGAGCAATACAAGATAGACCCAAAATCGAACTTCATTAGGAATTATTATTTGAGAGATGCTAGCTGTTATGATATTGTAGGAATCGTTGAAAGTGGTGGAGTTGTTGAAATCACTTAACATTATCCCGGGAGAGAAAGTGTAAGAATGAAGATGTGCAAAAAAAGTGCTTTTTATTAGAGAGGACGAGAGATAATCTAGTTTACGACAATACTAATGACTCCATCCTTTTTCCATTTCGCTTGGTTGCATTCAAATTTTAATGCATGCATGTAGACTTTGTCATAGAGTGAGAAATTGAGAAGATTTATTCTATCGTATATAACTGAGAATGGCAAGAATTTAACACGTTTCTTTTGTGACAATGACGCTGATGTAAACTAATTAGAGCAAGCCTGAAAAGAGATGTGAGCCGCCAAGCGAGGATAATCGAATCCTTTTCAATGTGTTGTTCCATCTTTCCGAAAATTTTATCCCAACACCATTTCAACACTTAGATTAAAAGTCTCACAATCGATCGAGTCTCAAGCCATTTCGGAATTTATAGGGTGTGGGTGTGAATGTAAGAAGAGAAGACATTAACACCCACACCCACACCCAGACATGTATTTTCACTGTCTCTTTAATGTGCTATAGAAATAGCAGAATGAACAGTCGTATGTTCTAACTTCCATTTGCTCTGGGCTGAGAAAAATGATTGTCACCGAGCATAAAAAAATTTGCTTAGTTTCTGCCAGAATAACTTTTTTTAGAAAGGAAAAACGTCAGATTTATTAAAGAAAATTTTGTGATGTCATCAAATAGTCATTATTAGGTTGGAATAAATGCTAATGCCAATAAATATTCTTCTGCCAGTTTATTCGATATTAATTTACCATTTTTGTTTAAATCAAATGTCAATATTTTCTGTGTTTCTGAATTCAAAACAATCATTGCAAAATAATATCCTTCATAGCAATTTCCAGCCGATGGTTCGTAATCATTGAAATTGTCTGATAAAACGTCTATTGTACCATTATAAGGGTTTAAACGTACCAAACGACAGCCACGCTTAGTTATAAAACTTTGCATACCATAAAAAGCATTCGTTTTATTATCATAACATAAATAGGACGGTAAATCAGAATTTGAAATTCGACTTATTATTTTTTGTTTGATTAAATCAATACCAACAAGAAGATCTTTGAGACCAGATACTACTGTCACAAAATATTGATGATTTGTTGAATTATAAAAGATTGTCATTGAATCAGGTGAAACACCGTTAACTTTGGTAATATTTACCCATCGTGTAGCTATAAAATTAATCGGATCTATCTGAACGATACTTACAGGATTTTCATCTGGACTTGACATTTGTAATGAATATAATTTGCCTGTACTACTATCGGCACGTAAGCCAAATAGTTCGGCATAATTTTCTGTGATAATTTTTCGGTATTGTTTTGTGCCATTGAATGGATTAACCAAAATCAATGATATCGATGATTCTCGTCTTACTGCTGCTTCACTACCGAAAACATAGAAGATTTTATTAATAAAATCATAGGTAACATCGTACGGTTTGTAATCACTCAAAAGAGTGAATATCGTAAACTTTCCAGTTAATGGATCAATTCTGTATAATTTATTTGATGTTGGTCCAAGTTCAAACGTTGCTCCTAATAAGTAGCCTTTTGGAACTGTTGACATGCCATTGATAGCATTAAAGATGATGTATGACAATAGTAATGAAAATAGAAAAGTATTACTCATTAATCTAAAACTGAATACAAATGTACATTCGGAATTTTTGGATGTCATATATCCGAATTCATCTATACCGATCAATAGTATTACAGGTTAAAATTTTGTATTCCAATCAGAGATACCGTGAAGTGATGAAGCTGGGGGATCAGCATTTTTTGCACCAGAGCTGATGTTAATTTTTTCTTTTTTCAGATTTATAAAGAAGATTCTACTTTGTCTTGTAGTCTTTTCAGAAAGAAAATGTGTTCACATCTAATTCAGAAAAATTTCTCCATACTTTTGCCGTCGAAAAATCAAGCTCTTCGTAAAGCAACAGATAATAAAACGTCGATAAAATCAAAACTTAGAGCTTTTCAAGTCGATAACTCTTATTTAGGTATTAGTTTTTCCTCGAAGCGAAAAGTTGTTCATATCCTAACTTTCAGCGGCAACCAAACGATATTTTTCGATTATTGAGGGGGTTGCCTTCTGACCCTGGGATATCCCATTGAAAATGATACCATATCCAAAAATTAGGAACATCGTCAATTGTTACCCAATGAAAAAGTTCCAATTAGTAATCAGGTTATCGTGCAGTAAAATCAAAATTTTGAATCGATTTGATAGATTTCATTATTGAAAAGACAAAGTAAATCTA